CAGTATAATGTACTGGAAATCCAGTATATTATGCTGGAACTCCAATATATAATACTGAAAGTCTTCCAGTATAATATACTAGTATATTATGCTGGAATATTTTTCGGATTTTGAACAGTGTTTTTGTTCAGATTTATCTTTACATGAGAAGTTGCTAAATTTTGATTACTTTTGAAACCGTGGCTATTTTTCAATTACCGCTTGTAAATCTGGCTATTTTTGAATTTCACCCATACACCTAGCTCGACCCGCTAAAAATAAAAAATCATCCACTAAATAAAATCAAATGCTAAAACGCATCCCTAGTAAAAATACTTCTTTCTTCTTCTTCTTATAAAAAGCAGCTTGTTTTTTTTTCATAGTTTCACTCTACTCCTTAATTCGTACCCATTATTATTTTATAAAAAATTGAAAAAAAAACGTGAAAAGAAGAAACAGGTCATTGAGAAAAAAATAACACAAGTCACTCTAGTCTTTTGCACTTAATCTCGTACCCTTTATTTTATAAAACTAGAGTAAAATCATAAAAAAGAAAGAAATCAACTTTTTATAAGAAGAATAGAGATGCATTTATTTTAGTGTTTGGTTTTATTTTGGGGTGGATTTTTATTTTTAGCTGGTCGGGTTGGATGTATGGGTGAATTTTCTATATTTTGTTTGGATATTAATTATTTTATTTGGTACAAAAATATAAAAAGTCCATATCGACTGCTACGTCACTTTTTTTTTACCAGAAAATTTGATAATTTCGGTTGAAAGACCATTTGTGTGCAAATAGGAATAGTTGAGTTATTTTTCTGTTACATATGAAAAAAAGTGACTTTTGTATGTAATTTTGAATAGTTGAGTGATTATATGAGTAATTGACTCAATCTTAGCTCACCAATTTTAGTGTTGTTATTTTTTAAGAATACTATAAATATAAGACACATGTAAAATGCAATTTAAGGATAAAGCATAATAGAAATAAGCCATAAGTCACATAAAAATCACATCCACATATGCAACTCTGTTAAAGCAAATTCAATCGGAAGATGAATTCTTACGTGAACCAAGGAAATCAAAAGTCCGATTTCACGAAATCTCTTAATATAATAATAGCTTATATATAGCCTGTTTGGCCAAGCTTTTTTTTGGCCAGAAGTACTTTTTTTTTTTGTCAAAAGCACTTTTGGCCAAAAATTGAGGTGTTTGGCCAAGCTTTTGGAAGGAAAAAAAGTGCTTTTGAGGAGAAGCAGAAGCAGTTTTGGAGAAGCAAAAAAAAGTAGTTTCTCTCCCAAAAGCACTTTTTTGAGAAGCACTTTTGAGAAAAATACACTTAGAAGCAGTTTTTAAAGCTTGGCCAAACACTAATTGCTGCTCAGAAGTGCTTTTCAAACTAATTAGCCAAACACAAACTGCTTCTCACCAAAAGTACTTTTGAAAAAAAGCACTTCTCAAAATAAGCTGATTTTTGCAGCTTGGCCAAACAGGCTAATAGTCACCACCAATTTAGGTCTATTTTGATTGATTTATCATATAGTATAAGAAAATTAAATTCTAAAAAAAATCATTTAATTAGAAGCATTTGCAGTTTTCTGTCTGCCATCATCTAAAAGAGAAGAAAAGAGAAATACAACTTATAAATTGCAGTGCGGCTATATATCGATTTGGAGAGTGCGAGTTTTAAAAATTTAGAGAGTGAGACTCAAATACTACTTATAACCTGAGTCCTCAGATGCGACATACATATTGCATTTGGGACTTATAAAACGCAATAAGTGCAATTTGTATGTGGAATTTACATGAAAATACACTTGGAGAAAGTACTTTTCACTTGCCGAACCCACAAATACGGTTTTCATCCGTCAGCACACAATATTAATCAATTTTATGAAAACAAGTCAAACTCGCAAATTTCGTTGAACTTCGTCAACTACACCCATAATCACACCTAAATCAGATTCCGCTTTTTTTCTTTTATTTTTATCTTTTCCTTTTTTCTATTTTCATTCTTATTTATTTTTTACTTCCCTCTTTATAGTATTTCCTAAAATTCACAATGTCAGGAAGTTGAAGTAAAAAATATATTCATCCTTAAAGTCTATAATTTTAATTTTTTTTGCAAAATTCAAAGTTTTGTAAAGGAAATTCTTATTTCACTGGAAAAATAAAAAAATTACATTATTAAACACCTTATATACATAGTCATACGTTAATTATACACAAATATATAATAATACACACTATCTGAAGGCAAGAAATTCAAATATTTTTTTACAATTATCTATGTTGTATAATTATGTATAATCTTGTATACTTGTGTATAATCATGTATAATTCTGTATAACTATGAATACACACAAATATACATGGTTATACATGATTATACAAAGTATATATAGTTATATACAACATATACATCATTCTTCCTCCCTTTGGAAGTCACTAAAAGTGAGAAGAAGAAGAAGAAGAAGAAGAAGAAGAAGAAGAAGAAGAAGGAGGAGGAGGAGGAGGAGGAAAAATTACCAAGAACGTACTAAAAAACGAAGAGTTACTAAACTAGAATAAGAGACAGAAATAAAGTAAATAACCACTACACTATTTTACTTTTCTTCGTAACGGGACTGTAACCCACTCCTTCTACATAAGACAAGACAGCACAACTAACACTTTACACTCGGGTAATACATGAACCACAAGTTAATTCCAGCAATACAACTTTATGTAACGAAAGTTACACCAAAATAGCCAAAAGACAGTATAACTTCAACAACTACCAAACTACAAGCAAGACACTAAACGACAAGTACCAGGAATGAATCAGATATATGTATATTCATCAACGACCAGAAATAAAAAGAATCCTCTAATGTCAAACTCGGAATCGGCTTCGGCGAGCACTGAATACGAAAGAAAAAGAACTACAAAAGATAGATCCGGTTGTGGATGTTCAACAATGTTATTTGTTGGAAGAGGAAGATACAGATGAAACGGAAGCAAGGAAACCTAGAAGAAGAACTCGACTATTTTGTCCAGAGAGATAGAGAGAGAGAGAGAGAGAGAAAGAGCAAGAACGAATTGAAAATGAAAGAGAAAGAGGAGTGGGGAGAAAATTTGAAAGAGAAAACTGATTAGAATTATGAATTGGAAATGGAAAAAATTCCTCCGCATAAAGAAAAAAAGAGTGGGGACAGTAATGTGGCTAATCGATGAAAATAATTTTTCAACTTATGTACAAACTGGGCCATACCGGGTAAGAAGGGAAAATATAGGCCCAATTTTGTTAGAATGTTGGGCCAACTGACAATGAGATTAATTTTTCGGGGAAAGTGCACGGCTAGCCATTAATAACACATGTATTTACTTTTAAGCCATTGTTTAAAATGTCTTTAGTCTTTAGCCACTGCTTTAATAAACTTTACCTGCCCGGAAGAAAACACCCTTCTGCTCATAAAGTTCAGGACCAAGTATCCTTAACTTTTGAACTTGCAACTCTAAGTTCAGGACTTCAGGACTACACGTCCTTAACTTTTGAACTTGCAACTCTAAGTTCAGGACTACATGTCCTTAACTTTTCAACTTGGAACTCGAAGTTCAAGACCACCTGTCCTTAAGTTTTGTGCTTGTAACTCTAAGTTAAGGACTACTTGTCCTTAACTTTTGAGCTTGTTAGTCTAAGTTTTTGACCAAGTGTCCTTAACTTTTGAACTTGTAACTGTAAGTTCAGGACCAAGTGTCCTTAACTTTTGAGCTTGTTAGTCTAAGTTCAGGACCTATTGTCCTTAACTTTTGAGCTTGTTAGTCTAGTTGAGGACCAAGTGTCCTCAAATTTTGAACTTGTAACTGTAAGTTCAGGGCCAAGTGTCCTTAACTTTTGAGCTTGTTAGTCTAACTATTGTCCTTAACTTTTGAGCTTGTTAGTCTATGTTCGGGACCTATTATCCTTAACTTTAGGATTCTTAGCCTAAGTTCAGGACCTATTGTCCTTAACTTTTGAGCTTGTTAGTCTAAGTTTAGGACCTATTGTCCTTAACTTTAGGATTCTTAGCCTAAGTTCAGGACCTATTGTCCTTAACTTTTGAGCTTGTTAGCCTAAGTTTAGGACCTATTGTCCTTAACTTTTGAGCTTGTTAGTCTAAGTTCAGGACCAAGTGTCCTTAACTTTTGAACTTGTAATTCTAAGTTCAGAACCAAGTGTCCTTAACTTTTGAAATTGGAACTCGAAGTTAAGGACCAAGTGTACTTAACTTTTGAACTTAAATACATATATTTTAAATATTTTATCCTTTTCTGATAAATTCACTTTTTTCTTCCGTTTTGACTGAAGGTTTACCCAATTTAAAAACCACAGCAGGTAAAAGTCAAAAGAGAAAGGAGAATTAAAAAGGTGATCATGGCTTAACACCTAATTCCCTCCCCATAGGATCTCAAGGCACAATAGGTATAGCAGTAGTAGCAGTAGACTCAGTAGAAAAAAATACAGTGAATTTCTATTGTTTATATGCAGTGTTCGAGGGGTAGGCCTTGTATTTTCCTTTGACTCAATCTCCCATTCTTCATTAACTACATACTCTGGTATAGCTTTTCTGAGATCATAAAAAAGGAGTCACTTTTCAACGACAAAGACAAAGCAAAATATACAGGAAGAAGACGATAAAGAAAAAGAAAGAAAATGGAATTTGGGAATGGAAGAAGAATATGCAGAGAGAATAGCCCAGAAAGAGAATCTGAAAATGGCGTATCTATCCAACTTGTGATACCACTGTATTTCCATTTGGGAAGGAAAGGGTAACAACGTCCTTTCATATTAATTTTAATAAACTAGTGGCTACTTTCGCTCAGCATTAAAAATGCTGGATAAAAAGTAAATACCACTTTAAATAGTGGCTACCCCATACAATTTTTACTAATTTTTCCTTTGTATGTCACTTATAGCCCATTTGTTGGATTTGAGCCCATCTCTAAATTAGCCCATTTTCCAAGTCCATCAGTGTCTAGCCCAAGTTACCTAGAGTACAAAAGTTTCTTACAACTTTCACTTCTCTCACTCTCTGTTGCACTTTAGGGTTTTGCCGCTGAGCATCTATCCTCGTCCAGTTCAGCTTGTAGTCCTCAATCATGGCGGAGCAGGTTTTCTCTCTTCGCACTTACACATTCACATTCTCATTATGATTTGCCAACTCATAAGAAAAAATCTAATGGATTTGTTTTCTGTTGCAGACGGAGAAGGCGTTTTTGAAGCAGCCAGGTGTTTTTCTAAGGTGAGTTTCATGTCCAATTGCCATTTAGCTTTTTCTGTTCAAGTCCGTAAGTTCCAGGAAGAATTTATGGCTAATGTTGTATTTGTATATGTAATTGAGCAGCTCGAAGAAGACAGGGAAAGGGAAAAGGCCAGGAAAGGGAGGCAATCGCTACTTTAAGAGTATCGGTCTAGGGTTCAAGACTCCTCGTGAGGCTGTTGAAGGTTCATTTTCATTTTCCATCTACTTATTAGTATATGAATAATCATGCTCAATTACTGTATTTCATTTGCTGGCTGGCTCCTGCATTTCTAATTTATATTACATATTATGCTTTCCTAATTAGTATAGTGAGTCTGTGAGTGTAGTTTTACTGTGTATGGTTTAAATGGAGCTGACCAGAAATTCAATTGTCAATTTCGATGCGAACAAGGTTCTTTTCTTTCTATTTCCTCTAGATGTAGAGGATTCATATAGAGAGTGCCCCCTAGTTTTGGATTAAGCAATGATTGATTGATTGATTGATTTAATTATTGTTCGAGCCTAAAGCAAGGGTGTGCTTGCTGGAAGGGCCAAATTGTTACCTGGATTATGTCGATAACTTTAGGTTAAAGTTTTTGCAATGTAGTTGGTATTTGGTAAATCTGTCTATTAAGAAGTTACTCCTTCTGTTCCCTTTTAGTTGTAATGCTAGCAGATGGCGGGCCTCCGCTTTTCTTTTCATTAATGAAACCCGCCAATTATTATGAACTCAAATAAAAAAAATTGGATTTAGAAGGCTTGTTCAAAAGAAAAAAGAGACGCCAATTGACAGAAATGCTGGCCGGAATTCGAAAACGGTCCATCCCACCATAATGGATCTCTCCTACCGCTACCTACTATTGGATCGATTTAGGGAAGGAAAGAAAGAGCTACTTCTTCGAGCTGAGTGGGATTGCGCCCCTTCCTTCTTCTAATAAGAGAGAGCGAAAGACGTTAGGGACACTCTCATTTCAACCTTTCCTATAAGGATAAGCTTTTACAATTGTCCTTTAAGCTTATTTATTCCTTCTTGTTTCCTACTTCAACCTGAATAGAGCGCATATTCTTTTTTTTCTGGTAATTAAGTAAATTTTGTTACCGAGGAAAGATATGTACAAACAAGCAAAAGAACCCATAAAGGTGAACAAACCTCAGCTTTAGTAACCAACAGCACAGGCGCACCAAGAACTACCCTTAACCCCTAATTACTTCATCCTCTATGGATGTAAATTCAGCTTACTCAACTGTCCAGCCAGCTTCTTGTACCAGTAGCCTCGACTATGAACCTCCTGTGCAATCATCCTCAACAGCACCTCAGTAGTATTCATTTTACTTTGAAAAATTCTCTGATTCTCTCTTGCCAAATGTGGTAGATAGCTCCAGCCACCACCATACGGTATATATCATCTCGACCAGATTTTCCATTTGCAAACTGTAAGGCTTATGTCATTTCTTCCTCCAGCCCCTTTGCAGATCTTCTAATCCCTTGCCAACTGAGTAAGTTGTTCCAAATTAGCTAAACAAATTTGCATTTGGAAAAACAAATGTGCTGCTATTTCGTTCTCAGCTCCACACAGTGAACAAAGAGACTGCAGTTACATATAAGTAATAGAAGTATAGAACATAAAAAATACTTCCTAAATACCTATGTTGGTAACCTTTAAGTGGAAATGTTGCTTGTTAGATGTAATGTTCTTTAGAGGATGGAAGTTAAGACTGACTTTAAAAACAAAGAGTTCTGCAGATTTCAAGTATCTTTTGTATCTTTACACCAGTTTTCATGGCTTTTCTGAAGTTATAATCTTTTGTTTTTGTTATTTCTTTTCATCCATTGTGCTTTTCTCATTTCTTGAGATAGTAGATATTTCCAAACAGCTATGATTAATTTATGTACATCTAATTATTTACATTCTTAATGTGGGTAGTTTGTTAATGCTTTATAGAGCCCGTTTGGATAAGCTTATTTTAAGTGCTTTTAAGCCAAAATAGTTTTAAGCCATTTTGTAGTGTTTGGATAAAGTAAAAAAGTGCTTTTGAGCACTTGTTTTTAAGCTAAAATGCCAAAAACAAGTCAAAAGCTAGAATTCCAACTTATGGCTTAAAAGCTATTTTGGCTTAAAAGTCACTTAATAAGCCAATCCAAACAGGCTCATAGTCATCCATTGTGATATTGTTTGGCTGAAATGGTAGAAATTTCCAGTACAACAATTATTAGTTTTATGTGCTTTCTTAAACCACTCTTAACTGTTAGTTGCATAAAAATTACTGTAGTAGTTTAGGCTTTCACATATACAAAATAATATTGCAAGCAAGTCTTTTTTCATTTTCTTGCATGCTTAGCAAAAATGGCTATGATTGCTTAATTTCACCTTGTTCTGTGGTCTACCCTAATTGTTTGGTCTGTTTAAATTTAGGTACATACATTGACAAGAAATGCCCATTCACTGGCGATGTTTCTATCCGAGGTCGTATCCTTGCTGGTACATGCCACAGTGCTAAGATGAACAGAACCATCATTGTTCGACGCAACTACTTACATTATGTGAAGAAGTACCAGAGGCAAGAGCTGGTCCCTTTAAATTCGTTGGCTGCTATACTTCTCCTTTTGTGTGTTTTAACATGTATGTTATTTCAGATATGAGAAGAGGCACTCGAACATTCCAGCGCACATATCACCATGCTTCCGTGTGAAAGAGGGAGATCATGTTATCATTGGACAGTGCAGGTTTGGACCATTATATTTTTATTTTGCTATAATTTTTATGTTCTGTTATAGCATGTATGCGATAACATTTTCTGGTTCACAGGCCTTTGTCCAAAACTGTGAGGTTCAATGTCTTAAAGGTGATTCCAGCTGGTTCTGCTGGTGGAGGAAAAAAGGCTTTTACCGGAATGTGAGCTTTGTGCTTCCATTTTAACTGTTATTTCTAGGACTGATGTCAAAACTTTTCTGCTTTTTACTGAATTGTTGTCTTCATTGATTTTCCTTTGAACTTCAAATTTTGAAACTTAATGCTAGCAATTATTTTAAAGCCCATGTACTACACTTATAAGAGGTTTGGTGATTGAACCTTATATTTTAAAAAGGATACTTGGTTATTGAATTTGTAGTGCTTTTCTAGTTTTTGTCAGTTGAGCTATGATCACGCCCAACTCTAGTCCTAAAAAGGATAAGCGGTCGCTGCAAATATAATCCGGCCTAAAAGTCCGGAGTCGAATCCCACAGAGAATTAAGGTTTAGCTATACCTGTTTAATATCACTAAGAAGACAAGTTTGAACAATTTTCTAAATTATAAAGATTGAGATTTATATTCCTAACTAATTATATACTACAAAACAATAAAATTATCAACTAATGAGATAAAGGGTTGGAGACTAAATTAAGGAGGTCTAGAGTTATGATTTTTTCAATTGTCGGAATCCTTCTAGCTACGTTCCCTATAATTTCGCCAATGTATTCTCTACTGACCGTGAGCACTTTAGGTGCCGCAATTCTCTCTCGAGCAACTACAATAATTTACTAGACATATTCTCTCGAACTACGCTAGTTGGCTTTATCTAACCGCTCATTATGACTACGTCAACGCTTTGTTATTTCTAAACCTGCCTTTAAATCCACTGTATTGATTTCTCACATACGTTAGGAGTGATGTTGTTCAACAACCACCTAAATAAGTATCCTTTCTCAAGCAACACATAATAAATAGGCACAGTCAATCGATGACCATTCAATCAACAACAATAAACATGTACTTGAAAAAGTAGAGAAATCCAACGGCTCAATTATATAAAAACATAACAAGAATTTATCCTACAAAAAGTTCCATCAAAACCTTAGATAACAAATTAGCTATTCATAATAGTATGTAAAACTACAATACTAAAAGTCATAACCAATAATGAAAAATAAGAAGAGGAAGGAAAAACTCGTAGAAGAATTCCCCGCCTTGCTCCTCTTGTGTCCAAGGTGCTCAAAATACCGTTTTTCCATATATATATACCAAGTAGGGTCGGGCCCAAACAATTATACCTTCTCGTACGCGAAAAGGGACAAGTTTCCAGGCTTGGACGTCCGCGGCCGCGGTACTTTGCAAGTCTACTGTTTCAGTCCGCGTCAGGTCCGCGGTTTCGACCGCGTTTTTCACCCTGTTCCGTTTGGAATTTGAAAAAACGTAAAACATGAAAGTTGTAGCCCTTTGAGTTAGCTTTTCAACCATATATTGTGGAGCTCAAATGGAGTTCTGATCGAAAAGTTATGTGCATTTTACTAGACAGTGCACAATATGCCTACTCGATTCTTCGTTTTGTTGCTCTATCATCCATTGATCCCCGAATACGATCCCGGCTTAATTCCTTGGGCTTTTACTCAGACTTCAAAGCTCCAAATCACGTGAATTCATTCCATAACATCTATATAGCTCGGAATCACTCCTACAAGGCATAAAACACACCGTTAGTGCAAAATACTAGCGATTAAAGCGCAAACTCAACTAAAGTACAGTAAATTAGAGTGTAATAATCGATTAAAATACGTAATTATAGTCTATCATCGAACTACTATTTTCTGGGCCCCTTTTTATGTTTGTTTTGAGCCTAGTCTGCTAATAATAGAGATTTAGTCTATTGGCTCATTGCCACAACGGAGAACTTTAATATCAGCATATTCTTAATGCTATAAAAATGAGAACATAAGCTTTCTACACTTGTGGTAATCGTTAGAATCTTGTAGAAGTAGCAAGGCGTATTCTTATTAAAATTTTAAGTTAATTCACTCTTCGAAAGGAAATCACCAACGTTTGACTATCTTGGAATAACGATTTTTTTTTTTTTTTTGGTTGCTTTTCTATCTGTATCCTCTGAAAAAATAGAACATAAAAGATTGGGAATTATACAAAGAGGTAAAGCACTTGGTATTTGAAGTTGCAAGTTTTTAAAAACAAAAAAACTAGCAGTACAAAACTTTACATAATTGCTATATTTTGATATCCTGACTTGACGTTTTACTGTATATTTTTCAAGTCGGTATTCATAGATTATACACTAATTATACATGATTATACACATATTATACATTCGCTGACTATTTTTAATTGGAATTTTTACATTCCTATGTCATATAGGAAACTATATTACGCTCAATGTTTAAGGTTTGATATAATTACATTTAGTATACCTAATTATCAATTATATACCATAGTGGTTTTTAAGGGTATTAATTACACTCCTAATTTAATGGTACCATATATTCCTTCTAATACCACTCCCTCCCCCCCCCCCCCCCCCCCCCCACGTTT